CCCTCACGGGCAAGCCAGTCGGGTATGGGTTGCTAGCTCATGCCTCACAAAAAACCTAGGCGTTGGCTGGGTCAGGCGAGTAACCGACACAAACGGGGGCCAATACCGCTGCCAACCAGGCCCGTCTGGCCCCTGCCGGCTCCATGCGCTTGGACAGCCACACGACTGAGTTGTGTCGCGCGACCACCCTGCCCAGTACCGAGCTGGTAAGACCAGACCAGCCCGCCACTGGGTGTACATGCCGAGACATGGATTGTTGAGCTGTTGCGCGCGGGGCACTGTGAGAAGAGTTGCTCGCGGATGCGCCCAATGACGGTGGCCCCAGGAGGCCACCCAAGGTTCGCCCGTCATTGTCCGGGCAAGCGGGTGAGGCCAGGCGGTCGCGCACAGGCGAGAGAGCATACGACTCGGTCGCCAGCCGCGGACGCGCAATGGTAGTGGCCTCATGTGCGCACACACGGTCCACCCATAATTGACCTACCAGCGGGTCATTCGGGCGTGTGTCGTCCGCTATAGGGCCCTCGCGGGCGCGCCTGACGGCGCCCAATGACGGTGACCCCGAGAGGGCACACAGTCCACCCGTCATGGACCCTCCAGCCAGGTCAATCGAATATAAGCCGTCCGTGCAGATCAGATGGCTCGGAGGAGGCTCTCTCCGCCAGGAGGTGCCATGGAAGCGGGCATTCCAACATCCTTTATAGTGTAATTTAAGTGCTAGAGTTAGGAATTATTGCTAGATCAATTGGGCGTTGGGGGGTGATATGAGCAAAATTGTTGTCCAAGCAAGGAAAGACTTTGACAAGTCTTTCTTTCCGAAAGCTGTGTTTATGGTCTGCTAGAATATTTGGGTACCAAGGAATTCTACAATCTTCATGCATGAGAGTCCCGCTTTCTCCATGTGGAGAAGTGGTTTTCTACACGACATTTCTTCATTGGCTTATGGGATTAAGCCTAGGTTTAGATATGACCTGTTAGATGGGTTTCTTACCTCCCACCTTAAAAGGTAAGTTGTATTAGGGCGGTTCTTGCATCTATGTGAGCATCATACTCTTTGCATATACTGTACATATGATTCTTTTCAATAAAGTTGCAGTCCTGTAGAGGTTTTGGCCTACAGTGAATGGTAAGAAAACACTCTTTGCGGAGTTGGAAGAAGCTCGAGAGTCAACTTTGTGAGCTACCAAAGCAAGTGAATTCAATTGTTTCCCCGTATATTGTTCCTCATATAGAACATTATTAAATTCAAGTTGCCACTTAACCCTCGAGTGGAAAAAATTATCTGGTCCAACCTCTCCCGCATGAGTAGGAAGCCACAAGCACGCATCACACATGTCTGTCCCCAATGAGCTTGCTAGGATTCCCCCCTGATCCCACCCTACCATGACGTCGGTACCTGTCCCGCTTGAGTTGATTGCCCAATCACCCACGAGCGCGCGCTGGCTGGCACCTTTCTCCTCGTAGCATCCACACATCCCACCGCTTGCTACTCGTGCCTGCCTCTCGCCACCACTCATCCTCCACTCAAGACTGCACCGCCGGTGCTCATCCTCACCGATCTCAAAGCTTCCCGACCTCCGGGTTATGTGCTTAAAGCCGATGATGACTTCCACCTCCGCATATGTTGCACCACCCTTCCATCTATCTCCAAGCTCGACGCTGACCATCGACTCTACTGCTCGGCCCTTCCACTAGGCCTCTACTCTATCGCACCTCTGCAGCCGCCCCCCACTTCGACGAGGGCACACCTCCTTTGTCTAGTGGATAGTATGATTTCTATCGGCTGTCAATCTATTATTTACATGACCATGGTTTATGTGGTATGTGATAAATTGACTCTATTTTCAAGTATCTCCGTGTGCTGCGTGATTAATTAGACAATGATCATTTCTTTGATCCGTGACAAAGTACTTGTATGTTGTATGTTATAAATTGATCTTATGGTGACCTGATGGCGAGCATTTTGTTCAGGGATATAAATTAGACACTGGTATTTTGGTTTGGTGATATAAAGTAGACAGTGAACATTGTTTGGTGACACAAACTAGATGATGAGCATTTTGGTGTGATACTTGTAGACGTGGTAGCTCTATATGCTAATTGAAAATTTCATTTTTGGCACATATGATAGATGGAAAAAGCAAAATCGGGGAAAGTAGTTTGTGATTCTATGCCTCATACATTTTTTCTGGATATTGTATCAAAGGAGTCCGGATGGTAATATTTTGTACATGCATTCTTTTACACTAGTAGCGTTTTGTGTTTGCACATACATACTGATCTTCATTGTATTTTTTAATTATCACTATAGAAAAATACTATCTTGTAGACTATGTATATCAAACAAAGTCAGGTGTGTAGCACCATACAAGGGCCACGGTACTATGTACCCGATTTCCGATGAGTACCTCTGCAAGGGAGAAATAAGACCTTTAACCATCAACATTCATCGCTATGGAATATCATCGAAAGATTTGTTTCTGTTCTTAATAAAATGATGAATCCCCTTTGGCATAACATGATACAAAGTCGAGATGCAAAAGATGATAGTTATTACACGCACGTGTCTCACAACTATGTTCATGATAGTAAATTATGTCATGAGCACTTTAACATGGCTGAGCGCGGCTCCTATGTTCACGAGTAGAGCACTTCTCGTGTCAATGCACTCGTAGATGAAACTAATATGGGTGCAATACACGATGCCACTGATTTAAGTGTTTTTTTTCTTGATGATTAATTTTTATTGTGGCTGCTTTTGTTGGGAGAACCTTGTAATAACTTAAAGATCTTCCTTTTGTTCCATTTGTTCTCGAGTGTCAATGTCACAACGTTTTATTATAACACTTAGCATTTCATGATATTCACATTTTTTCTTCCTTGCTCACATGTACACCAAACACATCGAAAAATTACATAGCATTCCTACAAGATAACATGATAGCATTTACATACAATTTTCGTATAATTATTTTCACTGGAGTTTCTGTGAGGCATTTTAGAGAAGCTATTTCAACTACTCGCGAAGTTATTTTTGCAGGAAAGAAAACTACCCTCAAACCAGCTTTTAAAGAAAAAACGTGTTACAAGGGCGACTCCAACACGCAACCTCATTCGGTCCGTGTATGTCTGTTTGGGCTCAATTGAACAGACAACACGGCTCAATGTGCGACCGTGACCGCTCCGCATTTTCTGTCTGTTTGGTGTCCGGCCCGCCCCATTTTCGATGCAAACATGTGCCTAGTTTGCCTCCACACGAACGACAAACAGACGCCCGTCCCGTGTCCGCCTCTGGCCCGCGTGGCAGCCGCCCACCTACCTCCCACCGTCCATATTTACGGCGCACGCGCGGGCGGACCCACCTGGCAGCCACCCCGACTGAGCGGTCATCATCCTTTTTAATGTGGAAGTCGTGGACCGGTGGGAATCCATATTTCCACTTCCGGGACGCGTGCCTCCTCAAGCCCCGACAACCAAACCCTAGCTTGTTGCTCCTCCACCTTCCTGCCGGCGACAATGGTTGGCTGTTGGTTCCTCGGCCGCAAGATGAAGCACGACCACGAGTCTGGGTCGTCGTCCGGCCGCCGTCGCCGCTCCACCACTCCTCCTCTACCTCCACCCGCATTCCATATCTCGTTGCACGGCGCCGCACCTCGTCAGCGGCCGTAGCGGAGATCTGCAAGTGGTACTGGGAGATGAGCACGTCGCTACCATGGAGCGGCGTGCACCTTCCCAACAATTGGCACCTCTCCGCGGATCGGGTGCCCATTCCCCCGATCCCGGTGAGCGGCAGCGCCTGTCGGGAGGAGATTAATCGACACCGTGCCCGCCTGCTGCCGGACCTCATTGACGACCGGAGGTACGCCACCGACTCCCCTCTCTGGGATACGTGGCTCCCCAACGAGCACGACATCCGCCGACAATCTTTCTTTGCCCGCCATCCTCCGAGGCCGCCACGACCGCGCTCTCATCGTTGCGCGCGCTCCCAGCCCGTCCCAGCCCCGCGGGCGCAGGCTGGTTCGTGGCCTTACTCCTACGCCATCGCCGTCCCCGCCACTGCCTGCAACATTGACGGTTGAGGAGGAGGACCACATGAGGCAGGCGATGGAGGACTCCCTCCACACCCACCACGAGTGCCAATGGCAGGGCCTCGAGGAGATGATGGCCCTGTCAGCAGCCGGTGTCGCCGCTTTCCCAGAGCTCGACGCCTACGTCAAGGAGGAGGCCATGGAGGACGTCCGGGCAGAGGCGCCGAGGGAGGAGGAGCCGACAGGATGGAACCCAGCCTTGGTCTGGCAGTCCTGAACATGGACGGAGACCGTGCCGTGCATGCCTGAGGTGAACGCCGACCCGTGGTCACCTTCCGCGCCATGTGAAGAGGTTGTGCACGCGCTACCGCATCCGCCACAACAGACGCCTCCCGCCTGGCAGGGGCCGCCAGCCTACCTCTAGCAGCCACCTCCATACGTCGACCTCATCGGTGATGACGACGACAACGAGTAGGACGACGGCTACGGAAGACGATGGCGACATTGGCGACGACGACCCTTATCTAGTTTTTTTAATGTCTTTATTAAGTTTATGTTTATATTGATGTGGTGAACCTGACTGCCGTGGACGTTTTAAATTTTATATTAATGGCAATGTTTATGTAGGTATTTTTTGTGTTAAATTTGAAGTCTAAATAATAGGATAGTTTGAAATGCGGCGGATCGGTTGGACGCACCGACTACCACGCGACCGCAAGCGGATAGGCGTGTCCGTTTGTCATCCCAAATGCCAAATGGGAGAAATCCGGACAAAACGCGCGTTTGTTTGGGGTTGTGCGTTGGAGTTTTCCTAACGCACGATCAGTGAGTGCACGATCCGACGGCTCGCAGCGCGGCCGACACGGCGCTACAATCAGTCGGCTAGATCTGGGTCGAAACGTTTTCCGATCAGGCACAAAAATCTCAGCGCCCAAACCCTAGCTAGCCCCTCCCACCGTCCCTCCCTCAATCCAAATGGACGGCGACGGCGACGGCGACGGCGACGGCAGCCTCCGCTTCGACTTCGAGGACGACGTCGACGCTTCGAGCGCTGGATCCGGCTCCGCGTCCTCGGAAGCCCCCATCCTCGCCGTGGGAGGGCCGTCCCGTGGCCGCGGCCACGGAAGCATCGAAATGGACGGCGACGAGGACAGCCTCCGCTTCGACTTCGAGGACGGCCTCGACGCGGCCGGCGCTGGCACCGAATCCTCGGCCTGGCCCTTCGAAGCCCCCATCCCCTCCGCTGGAGGGCCGTCCCATGGCCCTGGCAGCCGCAGCATCCAAATGGACGGCGACGAGGGCAGCCTCCGCTTCGACATCGAGGACTACCTCGACTCCGTCGCCGCTGGATCCGGCTCCGACGAGGAGATCCCGGAGTGCAGAATGTGAGGAACACCTCCATCTCAAATCACTTCTATTTTAGTCCTGC